CGCTTTCCACAGGGGTTGCACCATTTTACACTCCCACCAACAGTGAATAAGAGTTCCAGTTTCTCCACAACCTCACCAGCATTTGTTGCTTGCTATTCTGTTAAATTTTGCTATTCTGACTGGGGTGAGATGATATCTCATAGTTGTTTTACATTTGTAGTTTTTGTAGAGTGACATTTTCAACAGTAAACTAGGAAAGGATAGTTTTCTAAACAGAGCTAGAGTTGTCTTTAATGATTTTTTTAACACTGTCATTTTAATAAACCTAACAGGCTCTTTTTCAACAGGAATAGATTTGATATGGTGTGTTGCTCTGTAACCACTGAAAGTGAAGAAGTGGTTTCATCTGTTGCCATAATGTTGTTTTATAAGAAACATCCAGAGTTTGGCGCAATAATAAGCACTGGGAGTTTTTTTACACATATCTGGGTTCATCAGATCTCAACTTTTTCTGCCAGATTTGGCTGCATTCATTCTTGCCTCGGTCATCCAATTGACTCGTGCAGCTGAACTGCCAGTTCAACACAGCTTTTCAACAGGTTGCTGTGCTCAGTGCATCACTCTTCCTTCTGAGTCCAATAGACTACTTGGCCATAGCCTTCTCATGGTGCTGACAGAGCGAAACGGTGTGTCAGCAAGAACCTTTCAGCCTTCTGAATGTACCACACACAATAGCATCCCATAAGTTAACCTTCACCCTCCACCAATGCTTCTGTCATTGTCATAAAGACTTCAGAAAGAGATCCTGAAGCCTCCAGTGTAGGGGCCTAGAGCCCACAGCCTACCACATGCCTCAGGCTAGAGACTGGCTTCTTTGAGAAAAAGGTGTGCCACTTGAATCCTCCCTTAGACACACTTTAGAAGTTTACTAGCCTCCCATCTTCCTCTGGTCACAAGAATGGAGACAACAGAAAGTTGAAAAGTACATGGAGAGAGACAATTGTATTTGTTATGGCACACCTGTATGCTAATTACTTTTTCTAAGGTCTGTAGATAAGTATTAGCTGGTACTCTCAGGTCTGTCTCAACCCTGGCCCCGGCCTGAGCATTCTTTCTTTTGGTAGTCTCATGCTATATATATGAAGACACAGACCATTTTAAGCCTAATTTGTGGTAAATTTGAAGTTACATCTTTTTGTTTTTCAAAATATTTCACTCTTAAGTGGTTCACTAAGCTTATAATTTTGTGCTTTCTCAACAGTAATAAAAAGAAAAACAAGAATTACAAAGTGAAACTACTCAAACTACCAATGCATGACTTTGTAAAAAATCTATTACTTTGTTTGGCAAATGTTCCCTTTTACATGCATATGAATAAATAATTATGAAGATTTTTCTTTTCGCTTGGGACTCTTGTAAATTTTATTTTTAAGGTCAAGAGTCAACATTTCTCAGCTTCAACTGTATTTTAATGTCCTTGAAGAAAAGTCTATGGACCTGATAATTCCTTGTGTCCAGTTTATTCTCTATAATTAAAGTTGTTGTTAAGTACCGCAGAGTTGGAACTAATTCATTGTTGACCCTGCATCAAGTTTTCAGAGTCAGTAGATCACATGAGAGATTTGCCATTTCCTTACCACAGAGCTTTCCCACAGAGCTAGGGGATTCAAACCACATGCCTTTGGGTTGGCAGCTCAACTCCTTACCACGAAGCCACGAGCTCCCTACAATAAAAAAAAGAATAAACATGAAAAGTAAAAGAATTTTATTTGGCAAATAATTTTTAAGGAACAATTTTTTCTTTGAATGAACAAAATTCATTACTTTCCTTGGGAGTCCTTTGTATATGATACACTTAAGAAGGATGTACAGATTAGACACCCATACCTTTCACACTTCTGTGATGAAATTGATTATTGTCTTCTTCTGTATAAGCTTGAGTTTCCTCTGTTGGGGAGATTTTCTTGCTAGAGAGTCACTGAGAAGTGCCGTTAAGCTTGACATTTGTGAGAAGATGATGGCAGCAGGAAAGACAGAGAGATTATATTGGCATGAGGCAATCTCTGGAGCTGGAGACCCTATATGAAGCTGAGAGGACCAGGGTTTTTTGTGGGGGTTCTTTTGGTTTGTTTTTAAATGTTATTTTATTATTTTTATTTTGTGTGTGTGTGTACCGTCAGATTGGGTCTGACTGGTACAGGAGGAGATTGTCCCTCGTCCAGCAGAGCATCTGGTAGATTCGAACCACACACCTCTAGGATTGCAGTGCAGCTTCTTGACACTAGGCCACCAGAGCTCCAGGACCAGAGTTTTATAGCTACTTTGACTAATCATTAGATGCAGGCTGTCCCTAAGAAGATGTAACCTTGGGTGAGGTAGCTTTCTCCAATAAAGGTCAAGCAAGGGCTTAATAGAGACTTAGTTGAATATCATCAGCTACTAACCCTTTAGGGTGGAATCAGGAATCTGGGCAACACACCACAGCATCTACCACACATCTTTAACCAATACTTTTCAAAGTCTCACATGCATGTGAATCACTTTGCAGTCTTGTGTTGCAGGTTCTGATTCAGTGGATCTGGAATGGGACCTAAGATTCTGAATGTCTAATAAGCTCACGGGTGATGCTGCTGCTGCTGGTCCATGAATCACATTTTAAGTAGCATGACTTTAAATTCAACTTTCTCCTCATCTGACGTAACTTTGCATTGAAATTAGCAAGTGAGATCCATCAGAGTGTATGGATCTGGTCCAAATTCCACCATCACTGGACAAAGCATTTCTGAGCCACCAGGGTTTTTACAGCCGTCTTGACATCCTTGTTCCTCAGACTGTAGATGATGGGGTTGAGCATGGGAGTCAGCAGTCCATAAAAGAGGGAAATGAGTTTGTCTGAAAGGTCCTGTTTGTCTGCTCCTAGGGGGTCCTTTGATTTAGGCTTCCCATACATAAATAGGATGGTTCCATAGAAAATGATCACCACTGTGAGGTGGGCAGAACAGGTAGAGAAGGCTTTTCTTCTCCCCTCAGCTGAGGGGATCTTTAAGATTGTAGTAATAATAAAGATGTAAGAGACAAAGATGAAAAGAACTGGGACCCCCAGGAAGATTACGTTGGCTATCCCCATGCTGATCACGTTGATGGAGATGTCCGCACAGGCCAACTTGAGAACTGCCAGGATCTCACAAATGAAGTGGTTGATGACATTGTCTCCACAAAAAGGTAGTTGTACCGCAAGGGAAATCTGTACCAAGGAGTTGGTTCCACCAGCTAGCCAGGATCCAGCAGCCATGGGCACATAGGCAGCCTTGCTCATGATCACAGGGTACCTGAGGGGGTTGCAGATGGCCACGTAGCGGTCAAACGCCATCATGCCCAGAAGGACACACTCTGTGGCTCCCATGGCAAAGGAGAGAAACATCTGCACTGCACAACCTGAGAAAGAGATCGTTTTCCTGGGAGTCAGAAAACCATCCAAGACTAGGGGTACAGAGGCGGTGGTGTAGCAGATGTCCAGGAAGGAGAGGTTCCCCAGAAAGAAGTACATTGGTGTGTGCAGGTGGGAGTCAGACACAGTCACAATAATGAGGACCCCATTCCCCAGGAGAATCACCAGGTACATCAGCAAAATGAGCACAAAGAAGGTTTTCTCCAGCTTTGGGTGGGCAGAGAGTCCCAGCAAGACAAACTCTGTCACAGCAGACTGGTTGGAAGCTTCCATTTCAAGTTCTTTCTTTCATTCCTAGGACGAGTGAAAACAGAAAATATTAATTTCTCAATAACTGTGTTTGCATCTAAGTACATGGGACTCACAGTATGATGTCTCTAGAATTGTAAATAAGAAGTATCCTCTGGGGTACAATAGTAACATCAGGTTATTTAAAAGTCACTTTGTATATCACTGAAAAGTGTAAACAGTGGCTGTTGGAAATATGATGTGACTTAATAAAATTAAATATAATCTAATCAATGATATTAATATACTAAATTCAAAGTTTGATGTCTACATATGTGATGTGTGTCTAATACTTTCTGAAAAAGCAGGAACCCCTGGACAACTGTTTGTGTCATGTAATCAGGATCCTCAGACTGTCGCATTTCAGTGTTTCTGGCCTTTGGGGTCAAGCATCCTGTTCCTCTAGATCTGGTATGTACGTAATAGAAAACTTCTAATAGGAAGTATCTGTTATCATTTAGATTGTTCTACAGGAACAGAATACACTGACTTTGGTCTCCTTATAAGTTTTATTTATTTTATGAATGTGTAAAATAATGTTTATTCTGATACTACTGTTTGATTGTACAATCAATCCATAACCAACTTAATTTCACATAAAGCTTCAGGACTAAGGTTTCTCAACAGCTTCAAATTTAGGATCTTCAAATTTAGAATTTCATGTCTGCTCTACCATACATTTGCTTATGCTTAAAAGCTCCTTCTCCAGATATGTACATGTACAGCCAAGCACAATCAATAAGAGTGCATCTGAATTCCAAAATCAATCTCCATAATAGTCTATGTGTTTCCTACTGCCAAAGGGGCCCTTTAGAGTAGTGAGAGAAGATCTTCACCCTGAAACCCACAGCGTCCCTTTTCAGCAGGAAGTAGCTAAGAGAATATGCCGTCCCCTTTTCCTTATGACTCAGGGTGAAGTCTCTCTCAGGGAGGAGTGATAGGGAATGGCAAAGGATACACTGACAAAGAAGATTAATCAGAACTGGCTTTGACAAGCACTGTGGCATTTGGACAAGAACAAACTGGGAGGAGGGTAGAGAGAATAGTGCAACAATGAATGAGTGGAAGCCCAAAATCTCTGTAAATGTTTATGAAAATTAATAAAATATAATTATAGAAAAAAGAAAAAAAAAAGCTCCTTCTCCAAACCTTGTCGATATTCTGGGTCAACATCAACAGGTCCTCCAAATACCTGTTGTTTAGATTTGTATTCTCTATTCTTGTCTACAAAAAGTTTTAGCATAGAATCAAGTTCTTTATTAAATGCCACTGCACAAACGGACTGAGACTGCTAACCGAATGACAGGAAAATTTGAAGAGCCGCAGGAGAATCATAGTGATATTATAACTTGCACTTAAGTCCCGAGCTGCCCGAAAGCCACCGCCACCACCGCCATCCTCAAGTTTTATTTCTTACCTGGTGTCTAGTTTCCATTTCAGTCTTCTGTAGGTTTAGTTAGTGTGAATCAGTTTATCTGATCTTGACCCTCTTCTCTGCATAATTTGACCAAATTGAATTTCTGGAGCAGTTCTACAAAGTTTCTGTCAAAGTGTACAGAAATCTGATCTGGGGAGGAGAATTTGTGTTACTTTTTAACCTCTCTGTTTATTTCTTGTTCTAAGATTTGGACCAAGAATAAAATACTGACATGAAAATACCATGGTGCGCAAATCTACTCAGCCCCTGAGATCATGCTGAGTTTACTGCTGAAGAGATCTGAAGCTCGAGATGTTATCAGACTCTAAAGGATGGTGTCCCAAGTGGAATGGAATTAGCTGTCAGGATTCTACTGGCTATAAATACAGATATGAGAGTCCTAGTTTTGTAGATTATCTTGGGGATGTGTTTTTTGGTGTTTGTGTTCTTTAAAAAGTACTCCCTGTGCACTTTTGTGCACCAGGCTTAGGAATCAGTGATTTATCCCAATATGCCTCACTTAATTTAAAAAAAAAATTTATTGTGATTCAAGTAAAAGTTTACAAAGTAAATTTGTTTTCTTTTTCAACCATTCATACAGACTTTGCTTTATAATATTCATTACAATACCCCTCTGTAGCCACACTCTTCCTGTGATTTGGTGGGCAGGGGGTTCTTATCAGTTAGGCAGACAGGACAGCAACCTGCAAACAGCCCTTATATCTATTGTTCTGCTTGCATCGTGGGGAAGAGAGGAGCTGGGAACATTTAAGAGCTACAATGAAATAATTTCCAAAGAGATGAACTCAGTTTAGCATCACTTAAGAAAAGGAGAAATCTTTTTAGAGAAAGTTCATTTAGTATCACTAGTATCTAAGGTTTGCGAAGATCTTTGTATTAAACCAATCCAGGCCCCAACAGTTCTCTGTTAAATAATTTCTCAGCTTCTGTTGGACCATTATTTTAAGCAACTGGGCATCAGAATCTCTAAAGTCATTCATTGACAAGAAGCTGAAGTTGTTAGAATTCTTTAGGGACCTGAAATCTGTCCTTTATTTAAACTTCTTCCTACCGTTAATGGTCCTAACTTGCTTTAAGTTCATGGAAAACATGTCTGCTCCCTTGACACAGGAGCAGCTTTTAGAAGTTTAGAAATAGTTACCTTTTCTTCTACCTAATTCTACCCTTCTCTGTACATGGCTCCCTCATCTACGGTCTTCTCACCTGAAGGACAACTGGCCAGAGAGGTGAACTTACCTAGTGTGAAGAAGCCCACATTGGGTCTGTTGCTCACAGAAAGTCAGGCTTGTGGAGTGGGGATACTGCCTTCTCACTGGGGTCAGGAAAAGTGGTTATCTGTGGTGCCTTCTGTCCATCTGGACCTTCCAGATGGGTAACCTAGTCATAAACCAGCACATGGCCTCATATATGTTAACTGTTGTATAACTTATGAGGATATTTTCAGTGGCACTGGGCATACAGGATTCTAGAGGACCACTATAACTCAAGAAGTTACATCTGTTCACAATGCCTTTGTCCAACATTGGAGCTCATGAAACAAGGAGATAAAGATGGGTTCTCAAGGTTGAGGTTCAACCGTAAGCCCCAGCTTGGAGAGGGCTGCACCCTAGGATGGGATAGGAATCCATGCCCAGGCTCACAAGGCATGAGCCCCACACTTCCCCTTCCCTGCTCCACACTGTTTTCTAGAGATTTCCTCGAGACTCTCTCAGGAATTTAAGGGATAGGTTGCCTTGGGGCTAAGTTCTATCCCAAAGCAATTTAAAGTTTGATAAGAGTTTAGACTTCACCCCATAGGCCCAATTAGACAATGTTATGAAAGTTTACCCAAAGTTCCATATCACTGAAAGAAAACTTCAACTCCTAAAGTTTTCTGACTCTAGGAAATCAGAGCTCTCATGGATTTTGATCACAATGATTGATCCAAGATGTTCCTGTTACTTGGCCCTCAAAGAGTTAAAAGGGAATGAGAACACAGTCTTAATGCGCCAAATAGTCATTCGAAATTTTGGGTCAGACAGACTCTCTGATCACTCAGACATTCCTTCCCCTCCCCACAGTGACCCACTTTACCTTCTCTCTGTGCTACTAGCACTACAAGCAATCTCTATGCTGCTGTTTTTTGTTGTTAGGTGTCACTGAGTTGACTGTGACCCATGGTGACCCTATGAACAACAGATCTGAATCTTGCCCAAATCTATGCCATCCTCACAATCTCTGATATACTCAAGCCCATTGATATACTCAATCACCATGTCGGTTCATCTTGCTAAGGGTCTTTCAATGTTACTAATATGTCATATATAAATAACTCATGTTGTCTCTCCTTATGCCGTGGGCTTTTTTGGTACTGGATCCCTTAATAATGTTTATTATAAATTTTAATCATAGAATAATATGTGATAAATATAGTCATGAATTGTTTAAAGATACTTATATGAATACCAACAACAAACATTTTTAACTCTTTTGCATTGAATTGCAACCTTATTAATAACTGAGCAGCAATAATTTTTCCTATTCTTCTTTTCCTTTAATTAATATTTAATTATCAAAAAGTTACTGATGTGGCAAGTAATACTAAAACAAAAACTGCATTGTAACCAATTTCCTAGCCCATTATTCCTGCAAACAATCCACCCAAGGCTTAGTGGCTTAAAAGTAATTCTATTTCTAATGAATCTTGGAGGGCAAGGGAGATAACTCACAAAGAAAAAGAGAATATTATTGAGTAGTTTTTAACAGCAGTCAAGTCTGCCCCCAAATTCATGGCGGCCCCATGTGTTACAAAGTAAAACTGCTTCCTGGGTTTTCCCTGGTTGTATTCATTAGGATACCTTCCTGGGATTTTGTTGGCTGTAATAGTTGTGGAACAAATCCTTGTGGTACAGTGGTTAAAACACTAGACTATTATCTGAAATGTTTGTGGTTCAAAACCACTAACCATTCTACTTCCATGAAGATTTACAAGCTTGGAAACCCTGTGGGGCACTGCTTTGTCTTGCAGAGTCAATATGAGTCAGAACTGACTAAGCAGCAGTGGTTTGGACACATTACAGATTAGTTAGGCCTTTCTTCTGAGGAGTGACCAGGCGGGTTGAAGCCACCAACCTTTGGTTAATAGCCAATTGCAAACCACTGTGCCACCCAGGTTCCTTGTTGTTGGGGAGACGGCTAAGTATCTCTGTCCAGCTTATCTGAAAGTCAGAGAGAATCATAGTTAGACTATTCTCATGTTGGTTCTTTCTAGAAATATAAATGTGTTTGGGGGGAAAGTATATAGGTTCATTTAATGAACAACAAATTAATTGGATAAATACAACTGATTTCTTGGAAACTGGCAAAATAACAAATTGTGTTCCATTTTGGTGTTTGGTTGCTTTTGTATGGTTTGTACATAGGGGTTTTTTTTTAACAATGTTAATGCTTGACTGAATTAATCCATTTTTGCCCTAAAACAATTACTGACATAGGTTAATAACATAATTGAAGCTAAAACACTAGAAAATTTGACAAAATCAGCCATGATAAAGCCAAGTGAGTAGCA